TTAGAGACTTCCTATTAGTGCTCCTATCCCCTCTATGAAAGGAGGATTAAAGCACTTCCTATTTCACGTCAGCGCTGCATGGACAGAAACGTCAAAGGTTTTCAAACACGGTATTACAAGTGTTCAAACAGACTGCTGGAGGCATTTCTACACAAATCCTTCCACTCTTCCTTCAGTTTGCTACTTTAAGGGGAAAAAAAAAGAAACACACTATACTTGCTACTTTTTGTAGGTTCTGAAGATGTTTTTACTTGTCATAAATTAACAACACCTTTTGCTTTCAAATCTATGTGTACCACACAGGCGTTTTCTTCTTTAGCTCCTTTCAACACACCTCACTAATACCACAGAACTATGAGCAGTGTTTTTGCGTAAGTGGCACACAGGCTCCTTTTCATCTATTAAACAACAGTAGAAATGTCTGAGTTCAATCAGGTTATACTGACATTCTGAATGGAAAGGGAGGGCATGGGGAAACAAGCATGTTATTGGAGTGTCACCTACTGGCAAAATCTATTTCTGCAMAATTCCAGAGTTAGGAGAAAATGTACTTCGAGAAAATATATGGTGCAGTATCTGAAATTCCATCATCCTACACAAGATGCAATGAGCTGTGAAGAACCATGGTCGCAATCACAATTAGCTTTGTCTTTATAAAAATAAATKTTAGCATTATCATCAGAAATATTCATGTTTGCAAGAACAGGATCAGTTACAGTAAAATGGGCAAAGAGCATAATGAAAAGGTCATTGGAAAGATTTCTAAAAAAATCAAATAGAGGAAGGGAAGAAAAAAGAGGAGAGAGGTGGAACAAGACAAAACACTGCTCTGCCATGCAGTGATGTAGGCTCCCTGGCAGTTTATATAATATACAGAATTCACTTAGAAAACTTCAAATGATCATTCAACATTAAATTCACAGTAAGCATTACTCTCAAGTTGATGTACTACTRTTTTTTTTTCACAGCAAAGTAATAATTACCTATTATTGCTATCCAAAAGGCTACAAAGCAGAGCAGGAGGAACCTTAAGAATATGTAATTTAATATGACCTTCAAATAATCAACTAGATCAAGATCAGGAATTTGGGGGGCTATAATGAGTGCTCATATACCTGTGCTCCCAATATACCATTTTGTCTACTTGAAATCAAACCTATATTTTTTTWAAAAAAAAAGGACTCAAACACCTTAAACTGCTTTTCTATCATTATAAAATATATGCTCTGATGACTTCTAAAAAATACTGTCACATTGACGCTCCTTGCTTTTTATTGAGTACACATTTTTACTTTAAGCCTAAATGAATAACTCCAACCTATCATAAAAATAACAGATTTCAAATCTCTCAGATGCAGCTTATAACCCACATCTTTTACAAATTCAATACTGTATTTCTTCTAAGTTTTCATTATATAGCTATTCATATTTTAAAAAAATACCATTTCCTCCAGCATTTTGTTTGAAACAAAATTTKGACTACGTTTTATATCAATAAGTCATTATGGTTCATCTTCCTTTTATCAGCACATCCAATCTCATCTCTAAAACACTCATAGTCATTCTTATACCGATAAAATTTCTATGAGTCTTCCCCCAAAGAAACAAACCAGGTTATATAGGGGTGCCCTCCTGCATAAAGCGACTTACGGATGATTTAGCAGAGCCCAGCTTGAGTAACACCACTGCAATACTAGCCACTGGAGCAAGAAGCAGGGGAGCCGCCGAGCTAACACAGCTTGTTAGAGGTTGTTAGACATTCACTACCCGTGCGCGTGTAACTGTGCGCTCGTCATCGTGCAGAACAAGTCACAGCAGCTATCTCATCTCACAGCAACTTCTCACAAAGACAGGCAATGTCACGCTGCAGTACAATAACATGTGCCCTTTTAGTTCMGAAGAGTTACCAACAACGTCATTTCTCATCACTCACAGTTCTTGCAGTATTTCTCTCATGCAGCTCTGAATGACGTCATAACCTCAGTTTTGTTTTTAAGGAAAGAARTGAAGTTTCAAGTTTCCACAGAGGCACAGCAGAAGGGTGGAAACAACTCTCAACAATTCAAAAATCAAAAGGCAAACAGTGCAGCAAAGAATAGCGACTTTTCTGTTAAGTACTGTGAAAGGAAATTTATTAATTTTAGTATGCATAGCTCTAAGTAGTTGAATGCTGAGCAAATGAAGAAAGCAGAAGTTGCATACTCTATGGTTGCGCCTGAGTCTCTTTGCTAAACTGCCTATTTGATTTTTCTCTTTCTTATCCTTTTTCTTAAAAATAACAGGAAATGCAACTGCTGCTTCACCTGTGCCTTTCCTTCCTCTCCAGTTTCCAAAGGAGCAGGTCCTAAGTGAGCAGTTAGAGGAGTCTCACACAGAGGCATCACAGGATATAACTTGCTCCAAGATACAAGTTATTGTACTAATGCATACTATCATAATAACAGAAAAGACTGAAAGTAGGACATGCCTCTCTACAACTACCTGAAAGGTCGCTGCAGCAAGGTGGGAATCAAAGTACCCACAGAACAGGACAAAAAGGCCTCATGTTGGGCCAGGGGAGGGTCAGGTTGGATATCAGGAAAAATTTCTACACAGAGAGAGAGAGAGGTGGAACATTGGAACAGGCTGCCCAGGGAAGTGGTGGAGTCCCCATCCCTGGAAGTGTGGAAGAAATGTGTGGATGAGGCACTTAGGGACATGGTTCAGTAGGCAGGGTGGGGATGGGTTTATGGTTGGACTTGGATGATCTTGAAGGTCTTTTCCAACCATAACGGTTCTATGGTTCTATGACTGCAGCAAAGATGCTTCCACGTTCCACTCTTCAAGGGTGGGATTCACTTCCTAAATGCAGAGCTCTRCATCCCAGTTAGCTACTACGAGCAATCCTTAGAGCAAATGGAGAGGAGCCAGSACTTTCACAGGGCGACTCACTCCTTTCTGTGGAAGGCCTCTAAAATACATTAGCTGAGTGTGTCATGAAAGGGCAACTAGCTGAATGGAGTCATAGGAAGTTAAATGAGATGTATCCCACTTTAGGGGCCTGAAAATTAGAAGCCTAATTTACATCACACAGAAGCCCATTACCACCAGCCAGTGGAAGGGAGCTCAAAATTGCATAGACTCTTGTCTGCAGGCATTTTTCCCTTCACCTATTAACACGGGACCAGTATGCCTAATTTCAGCCACCTGTGCTCACAGTCAGATGTAAGGAAGTACTAATTCAAGGACAACTGATTTTGATTAGAATTTAACAGCAGAAGTTCTCTGCAGTTATAAAAGGTCATGGTAAATAATGGGAGGGCAACCATGAGCTCAAATTGCCAATTTGGTGATCCAAGTCAGATCCAARCATCTTTCAAAGAAGTTGATGCTAATTCAGACTCACAGCTAGCAAGCTCTAACAGTAGTTCAAAGGATATAAAAAAAGGAAAAAAAAATCACTTCAACAGAATGTTTCAGTCATTGCATACTCAGAAACTTGAATTACAAGAAAAATAAGGCTAAACATCTTTAATAAATCTAAATGCCACTTTCTATTTAGTGGGTGAAATAAAAGAAATAAACATATGGTATTGACAGAAGTAGTGCTGTTCTCTCCTATGGAGCARGAGTGGAATAATACCCTGTGCACCTAAGTAATATCCTGTGGCACAAAAAAACACTATAGCCAAAGAAGTCCCAGAATCAGCCCTATGTACGAGGCACCCTGCTACCCCAAAATTTGCAATATATTTTCAAAATTTTCCATATTTTACAATATATCGGTATTAACAAGATGATCCTTCCAAGGAAAAAGTGTGTTCTCTAAAATAGTTGAGGAGGGCAAAGAAAAAGACCTCTTCCAATACTAAAACCACAGCATTTGGAATCAAATGCAAGTTTATTTTTGTCCTTCTGAGAACATTTCCAAACCCCACTAAGTTTTAGCCACATGTCTCAAGCTGACTAACACTCTGAAGGTCTCTAACTTACCTTCAAGTTCAGACCAGATTCTGTCCCCTACTTTGCAGAAAAATACATCGAAACAACATTGACACAGGTCTAATGCTTTAAAGTTCTTCCACTTGCACTTTCCAAACTAAGCAGATGAAACTGAAATCATAGAATCATATAATCATAGAGTGCTTAAGGTTGGAAGGGACCTCAGAGGTCATCGAGTCCAACCCCCCTGCACACGCAGGGTCACCTACAGCACGTGGCTCAGGGCTGCATCCAAGCGGGTAAAATGTACTTTTACTTTAAAATCTGGAAAGTGAAAGACAGATATGGAAAGTTATTGGAAAATTCTTATATTTCCTTTATATAGATAGGTAGTATTTTTCTTATCCACAGTTTTTATGCATGTAGTCCTTTTGAGAAAACAATCAATGCTGTAGATTGGATAGGGCTCTCTGTGTGGCATGCCAGTGGTGGAATTTTAGACTGGAGCTTTTCCAGATGTTTCCTGGTTCAGGAGAGCATGATACAGCCTTTTTATAATGGTGAAACTTGCAAATGATCTGTAAGAGTTTTTGAGAAAATGAAAAAGAATGGAAAACTTCATGTGAGAAATGAGATAGTACTTACTGTAAGATGTAAGCCTCTGSTGCAGTGATTAATTAATGGAGTGTTCATCAGAAACTACTGTTTCTGTATCAGTTTTCTTCAAATGAATTTTTGAGATTTTAAAGTAAAAGTGCATTTTACCCGCTTGGATTTCCCTCTGTATTTCACTCTCTAGTAAAGCCAGCCTTATCATTATTCTCTGTTCCCAGGATTGATGTACAAGCAAGTTAGTACAATAATTACAAGAATCAAACTACGGCAAACTCCAGATCTGAGCAGGTGAAGGCAAGGGACTATGCGAAAGAAAACACCTTATAAACACTAGTAAGTGGACACCTCTTCAGGTCCTTGTACATAAAATACGTAGACAGTCTTTAATTAATTTACAGACAAGTAACTTCCTTTTAATACAAGAGTATGGTCACAAAGCATGCAGGAGAARAATCAGTACTTACAACAGGTTTTTTTGTGTCAGGGTCAAATTCTGTAGAATTTGCATCTGAAATAGAAATTCAAAACAAATACAATGTATTTCCATGTCCTACAGGCACTACAGACTCACCAGCAGAGCTTTGTGGCATTTTATGGCTTGTGTTTCCRCTACACCCTCACAAGTGGAAGTATGAAATATGATGCAGCTCTCTTGAAGCTACCATAGCGAACATATGATCTGCATCTGCTTCGGTCTGGCAGCTCCAACCAGTGAAAAAATGCAAAGGCAAATAAGTAAATCCCATCTCACTTYACTTCACACCTCCCACGTGCTCCAGGAAAAGACTATAGAGGTTAACACATTTCAGCTACATGAATGAGATTAAAGAGAGGATTTCAGGCAACCTGCACAAGAGAAGTTGCTATTCCTTCATATAGAAAGATAATCCAAGCTGCTTAGTTCTTGCAACAGGGCCATTTTGAGCTTGGTATCTAATGTTTGTAAGACCTATATACTAAACTGATTAATAGATATACATTGCATGTACAGAATGAAATCCCTTCTAACCAAATTATATCCATGCTGATATACAGACCTTACCTTTCCAGTTCAAACAGTTCCTTGCAAACTCCACAACTGCTAATTGCATTCCTAAGCAAACTCCTGTAAGAGGAAACAAAACCCCAGAATTTAACAAGATAAACAGTTGGACTTACAAGATACTCACCATTATGTCTTAAACTTGACTTCTTGTTTAGAAATCTTAGTACCCAGAGTCAACTCATAACCTTTCCAGAAAGTTAAAACAACAACAATGGCTGATCAAAGCAGAATCTACACTTGGAAAAATTTGAACCTGGCATACTGTGAATATGCACGGCCTAATTATGTGCTTTAGGCCCTTTTAGGAAATATTGGAGTTTCTTCCCATCCATTTTAGTAATGATTTTTGTAAAGCTAACTAAAAACAAAAAGTCTCAGTATATTCAAATTCAAATTTTGCTTTAACAACTAGCTAAAGTAGTCACTATTATTCACAGAATTGTAAAAAATCTAAAGCAGTAATCAAGCTTTAGAGCAATTTACACAAACAGCAYAGTTCATAGACCAGATGGGTACTTTGGACATTATCATAGTGAGGTGTATCATTAAATCAATATAAATTATTAATATGAAAAACATGATTAATAACCATAATGATGCTAACTTTAATATATTGAGAAGGAATGATTTTCCAGATAAAACATCCAATAAAGCCTTTGGGGAAGGCACAGTCTTTCTCTTTCTTCCTTCTCCAACACCACAGTACAGGACCACAGGCATTGCTTACAAGGTAGATATTGACAATAGGAAACCTACGACTGCAAGACAGGATCCCTCCCTAGTATACTCCATTTTACCCACTGACCCCATTACTTTTTTAAGTCCAGTACCAGTAGATTTGCTTGTTTGTTTTATACAGTTCTACAGTCTTTTAAAAAATCAGATCAATTAGCTTCCTATACATCTCCAAAATACAATAATTTCCAGCCTTCACAGTCTTACCCAGAAAAGGTTTTTTCTTTGTCCTTGCCCAGGAGATAGCTTGGAGTTTGCCTTCTGTTCCCCTAATCCCAAACCCTCCTGGGACAAGAATGCCACTGAAATGAGATTCATATATAAAGGGACTGGCAGGTAAAATCAAGTCAGCAAAATAAATCCATGCAAGAAGAAAGATTTTCAGGTTGCAACAAAGCAAGYGCAGGGGAAAAAATATATTCCAGCTCCTCAGTACAACATGGACATGCCCTATTTGTATAACTGTATGGGACGCAGAATTTAGATTTGAATTTAAAATTTCTGTCTCATCTTCCCACCCCGGTTCTCATCTGACCAACCTCATTCTTCACAGCAAAATTCACATTGCTTAAATAAACTAGCTGTGCAGTCATCACTTTAGGAACTTAATAGCAAAACCTGACAGCTAATAAGTACATCTAAATAAACGAATTTTGCTATCCGATAACAAAATCTTTTTACATATATAAATTGAATTTCTGTTAATATTGGCGCTCAAAAGAACAAGTTTGCCAAGTATCACAAGCATTTACAAGCCTAAACACAATATTTACCTAACTGCTTTTTACTGCAATTCTAGTTGACAAAGAAAAATTATTGACAACTGACTTGCACTCTACAGAAAGCGTTTTGCTTAGTTATCTAAAACACTGCAGCTCGTCTAAAGAGACTGAAATGGCATTTGAGGATACAGTCTGACACTAATTTGCGATGTCTGGTGCTTATCACTGTACAAGTCTATCTCCTTCCATAAGTAACACAAGTTTGGATGCACTGAGAAATGATCCACGAAAACACTCTACATCATGTAAAGTAAATCCCAGTGGGTATTTGGTCTGCAGTATACCTGTTGCCACTTACTCTGCTTTGCACAGCTTTTGCCAGGCCTGGTGATATTTCACCGGGTTCTCAACTTCTGTAGAACGTTCAAGATCTATCGAGTCTATGTACTAAGAGAAAAATATGCAATAAAACAGTGTATCCTTCCACAGAAAAAGCAGCACCAACCGTATAAACAATTTCTACAGCATTAAGACAAACTCACTATATTTTTCAAGTGATTTTCCCAGTAGACATGTAATAACTCCAGAGAGGTGCCAGTACTTGCTCCAAGCAGCTGTGGCAATCTATCCCTGCCTCTTTGTACGAGCCTGGAAGGTGTTGCCAGCCTCTTGCCCTCATTTTGCGACTCACCAGGCAAGCAGACTTGCCAGAGTGCTCTACAGTCCAGACCTACYTCCTATGGAAAACTGACCGAAGGATGGTGCCAGCCTCATTAAAGAATCATAGAATCCTTAAGTTGGAAGGGACCTCTAGAGGTCATCTAGTCCAAYCAGTCAGCACACATAGGGTCACCTAGAGCATGTGGCACAAGGTGGCATCCAAGCAGGTTTGGAAGATCTCCAGAGGAGACTCCACAACCTCTCCCCACAGCCTGTTCCAGTGCTCTGTCACCCTCACTGTTAAGAATTTTTTCCTTAAGTTCCTGCGGAACTTTTGGATCCTGACATCCAACTGGGTTGTGGCCAGGGAGTTGAGTTTCACAGCTCTTGGGTGCCACTGTTTGTCTACTCTAGATCAGCCTAGAGTATCTAGCCTGCAAGAAAGACACGACTAGGCATTAACCGGAAAATATCAGCTCTACCAGAGATCCTCGATTAATCTCCACTGCCATTAGCAAACATAGTTCCAGAGGTACCAACAGAGCAAATGGATAAGTGGTTAAGTACTGCACTGAGGGCAAGAGATCCCGGTTTGACTTCTGGCTTTGACACAGTATTTTTTTTTCTGAGAATAACATAATTAATAACATGCTGTTGCAGAYCATCCACTGCAAAAAATAAATCATGTGGACTGACAGAACACATTTGTGTGTAGAGAAACAAAAGAAGGAAAAGATTGCGTGAAGTTTTTCAGATGTGATATGATTGCCTTCTAGCAAGTTTTTTTTTCTCCATACTCCRAAAGGTATAAAAAATGGAACATGGCAACAGCATTCAAAAATAATTATTATTCTATACTAACATATAGTTAGTATGAGTAGACTAAAAGGATAGTTTATCATGCTAGGTGGTTGGAGGAAGAAACTAATTACATTGAAAATTAATTACAAAATCCCCCAGTTTGGAGGGGGCCTCCGAAGCCTACGCTAACGCCCTGCTCAAAGCACATCAAGTCAGAGCAGGCAGCTCAGTCATTTCCAGCCAAGATGAGAATCTCCAAGGCCAGAGATCTCACAGCTTCCCTAGGCATCGGTTCCAAGTTTGACCATCCCCAGGATAATTTTTCCCTTTTTTTTTGAATCAGAATTTCTCATGTTCTTAATTGAGTCTGTTGCCTCTCAGTCAGTTGCTGTGCTTCTCAGTCCAGATGCTGGACTACGTATCTTCTTCAATAGATATATCAAACTATAGATGTATAAAAGATATATACATAAAAGATATATCAGATTATATATAATATATATTATGATTATATATAATAATCAGATCTATTTCTATTAAATAATTAGTAAATATTTTATATATATATTAGTAAATACATATATAAATTTTATAGTAAATAAATACTATATATATAGTAAATTTTATATATATTAGTAAATTTTATATATACATATAAAGTCTGTTTTTTAAATCAGATTCAATGCTAGGTATCTGCAGTGTTTTTTTCAGATAAATTTAGTTCCAAAGGCGGGGGGGAAAAAAACCTCCAGACTTCTTAAGAAGTCTCTAGACTTCTTAAAAAGTGAAGCATTTATGGCCATTCCGTATTTATCTTCATGCTTCATTTCCTAATTATAATACAAATTAAAACTGCCTCATTGTTGGGAACTAGGACAGTGTATCCAAAGAATTTCTGCAAGCAAAATACAGACATATTCTCACCATTAAATCCAGTTTGTGATTAATTGCCAGCGCTGAGTGTTCCAGGGCCTTGAAAACAGATGCATARCAGTCACTTAGTTTTGTGTACTTGCCAACGAGAGCTATGGAACACACCTTCAGCAACCTTTCATACCTAACAAAAATAAGTTTTCTAGTTATTACTACAGTTTTCACAAAGAAAGCACTTTAACAAGACAAYGCCTCTTTTGTCTTTAATTTCACAATATATCTTCTAAAATCTCAAACACATCCATATTTTTAAACCCCAGACACCTTCAGGTGTTGATCAGCAGCATTCTACCAAATCCAGCAGTCCATCTTCACAGGAGCTAATTGTCTAACTGATTAAATGTAAGCACTACAAAAAAGAGGGGCAGGATTTAGATACCTGTCAGCCATTTTCTTCCATTTCATTAAAAGATCACTTGGCTGGTCATCAATAGGTAAATTTAATCGCTGTTTAAAATACTTGATAATGCCTTGTTCCTCCAGCAGGATTGGTACCCGGTAAGTGGAAGAAACATCGTGGATAAATATCACCTAAAAAATACATAACACAAAGAAGTTAGCTAAATACTCTTTCGCAGAAAACATGCATTCCACATTTCATATTCTACATGTGTTTTGTATTCTACATACATTATGCTCTTCACAGACTTTTCTCTGAATGAGCAGGACAATACAGCCAACACTTCAGATTCCATTAAATTTACACAAAAAAAGTTACCATGAAAGTAAAAACAAGGTTCCCTTGAACTGAATACGGTACAAAGACATCTTGTCAAGCCTAGCAACATATCAGTTTTAATATAAACCTCTGACCCCACAAGAAGGATCCTGTTAAAAAAAGAAAAAAGAAAACCTTCTTTTTCTCTCACATAATATATTTTCTAAAAAAGGAAGAACACAAATAGAATTTCACAAAATAGATCCATCTATATCATGATACAATCTTCTACAACAGATTTTCTTAGTGAATTAGATTATGTAATTAAATGATGAAGGTAACTCATTCATGGGTCATTTAATCCAGAACATGTATTTATAAATGGTCCAAGCTGCTTGCAATTAAGTTCATTGCATTTAGCAAACATGAGACTGCAAAGTTCTGAATCCTGACCATGAGTGTCCTCTCCCCGCTACCCATGAGAAATAAAGGATGCTTTCTTAGTTATCCTTGACTTCTTATTGTTCGTCAAGTAAAGCATGTACTCCTCTCCATGTACCGAGTAAAGCATGTACTCCTCTCCATGCACCAACTCAACAGCAAAGGAACAGAGCAGTCACAATCTTCCTGCAGTGGGACCTTATCCAACTGTTCTTCCAAACTTGGCAGCTACGAACTACCATCTTAAGGACAGAATATTTAGAAAGAACCACTGGCTGCTCTAGGTTACAGCATTGCTGACCATGGAGATTGTTAAAATCCTGAAGCAAGCCAAAGAGACTGGTTTTGCTTCAGTGGCACATATTTAGAAGTAAGGAGGATGCCACTCATTATTTACTTAATAAAAGTAACCAAAAATGCACTTAGAGCAAGTGGATTTTTTTGTTACAGAGGAAGACAGGGACAAAATAGCATATGGTCCTGGATTAGTTATGACAGCGAAGAAAAGGAATGCAAAGACAAGCTAAAAAGCCTGACCCCACCTTGAGGTAATAAATCAGAGTTTTAGGCACAAACTAAATCTGCAGCTTCTTTTCTGCCAGCACGGAGCACAGCTACAGGAGAAAGATTGATGATGCAACTAATCCTTCAGTGCACAAAATAAAATAAAAAAAATCCTCGTTCATTTTAGGGAATCCTTAGAGATGTGATCTTTGTACAATTCCAACCACAGAGTAGGACATCATGCATCATGAGTGATCTAGCCAACAGAGCTTGGAATTCATGGAATCCATGATCTCTTCTGGACAGACTGTTTCAATGGTCTAAAATCCAGAAGTGGCTCATTAATTTTAAGACACACAGGGTAGGTAAGGATGGCCTCGCAGAACTCTTAGGGCAGCAGTTACAAAGAGCAAAGACAGGGCTTCAGCAGAGCATGGCAGCTGGACACAGCACATCRGTCCACTGGGTCTTATCACCCAAGGCACCCCTACTTCACACAACACAGTGCTGCTGTGTCTGGAGATCTGGGCGAATCAGAACAGACCTGGAGCAGCGCAGCACTTTGCAGACATTGATACCACCAGCTTCTCAGGAAAACAGTGAGTAATACAACTGCTGAGCTTCTACCCTCAAAGGCAAATCTCTGACAAAGCAATGCTGTGCAGAGAGCTACTCCTTTGAGAGTGAGCTCTCCTGGAAGCTCAGGTATAAAGGGACTATGCTGCCTATGCTGCAGAGGGCAAGTTTCCCCAGAAGCCACCTCAAGGGGTTATCTCCTACAAAGAGTAAGATGCAGATGGGCATGAGGGAAAAATAATGGCCACACTGTCCTCTATGTTCTCATCTAGGGCCTTACTATAAAAAGGCTTATTTCTCACACATTGCCAGAGAGGTCAACATTGACACAAACTTGAAACACAGCATCAGTGTGAGCATCTATTATCCTTTTAACATTATCTGTTACATTAACTGCAAAGGGCATTTGATTTACCAAAACTAGTTTTCAAACAGCAGATATCTACAAGAATTAATATCAAAATCATATATGAACTACAGAARAATTTATATTATAGGCATTCTACACATGTTGAAGGGCATGAACAGCCTATTACACATTACTTACACGTTCATATTAATAGAATAGTCTAAAGTTGAAAACAGAAATGCATATATATATATTTGGATGCTTTGCTACATATATAATGATTTACAAATGGTTCATTACTGACCTGTTCAGGCTCCACGTGGCAAAACATGGAGATCTTTTCCTTCACTGCCATTTCTATAGGTTTAGCACTTCTGCAGACAATCTGTTGCAACCAAAAGTAAAATCATAAATCTTTTCTAGGAAAACCTGTAGAAGATCCTCAATAATACTCATGAATAGACCAGCTCCTTCAGCAATTCTGTGGAAATATACTGTGAGTTCTACTATACATCATAGCTCACAATCAATTACCCCAACACCACTTGCCCATACTGACCCCCTTTTACCTCTTAACCTTCCTATAGCTTCCTTTGTAGAGTTTCTTTCTCCTTTATGCTCTCCTTTTTTGTAGCCACTATTGTAACACTCTAAGTCAAGCAGCATTTTAAGCACAACTGATATAATGAATCAAAAAAAAAAAAAAAAAGACCTCATCAATTGAACTCAGAGCAACAATACTTAGTTTAAATCCGTATTTTCTAGCCTTGAGTACTTCAGTGCCTTTTTTGGAAATTGTTAATTCACCTATTATGATCAAAAGGAAGGATTACAATGAAAAAAACCCCACTATTTTACAATTTTCTATTTTTTTCTAGTGTAATTATGCAATTATACTGTGATTATTTTGCTGATGGAAATAAAACTCAAGTATTCTAAGAATGTTTGCTTTTTTTCAAAAAAAAAAGTTTGTTTGGAGTTTGTTGGAAGGTTTTTTGCATTAGCTAATTTTAGGAACTTAGAAACACTGATTCCAACCTTAAATATTCCAACCTTAAATATTCTGAAATATTCTGGTGTTGGAATGTATAGATTACTTACCTTCATCATTTGTTTTGAAACCTGCAYCAAATATAATAATTCTCTTAAAAGAATAATTTATTATTTTCCCCTTCTGTCTAGTAAGTGCAACTACTTAACACATTAAGATTTTTTTTTGTTCAGAAACATGTTGCTGATCATTGATCACCTTCCAGGATGCAACTTAGCTAGGCTGAAACTGAAAAAAAATCTAATCAACTTCCCCTAGCAAGAAATTTGAGAATCACAAAAAAACTATGCCAAATGCACAGGAAAATTAGCAAATATTCTAATAATCAAAAAGAACTTTGACATAATGTGTACATTTTCTTCAGCTAAGCATAACAGAACTTGGAACATTACTGAAAAATTGGGTAATGTTTGAAGATATTATTCATAAACCACAATAGCCTGAGTACACAAACACACCCAGTTTGGAATCTGTAATCCACCTTGCTGTGATAATTTAAAGCTAACAACAGAGCTAATGGAGTCACATAAAACAGAAGCATCAGAAGCAGCATGAAATGAAAAACTAAGTAACAGCGGCTGAGATGCATCCAAAAGCAACAGAATATAGAAAGGAAGAGATGAATAGGACAGCACGGGCAAACATAAAAACATCACTTTTCAAAATGGCATAACCAAGTCTAATACTGCACAGACACCGTGTGTTCACTAAGCTCTTCAAACATCCCATGGAGAGCAGGCCATGGCAGGCAAACAGCTGAGACAACCCAGAGAAGTAACTACATGAGTCCATTATATTACACATACACACACAGCTTTTAAAAGCTGATTTTTGGGGGGAGAAAAATTATCAGGCACTAGCAATTATCTTAACTCTCTCCAGAAATTAGATGCAATCTTCCCTATGCAATTAGCATAAGAGGGATTAAAAAGATATGCTTGTGAAGTACCATATAATTTAACATTCAGTTGAAAATAGTTTTCAAATGGAAGAACACACAGACCAAAAAGTCTGCAAAAAATAATGGAAAGAAATACAACAAAAAAAAWTTGTGTGAATATCATTTTAAGAATCATTTCTCCTTTTGAGGCTATCGCTGTTATTCAGAATCAATAGCTAATGTCACCACTAATGTCACTGCTCTTTCATTTCTGAGAAGGGCTAAGAAGCCTTTTCTCTCAGTGGAATGTAGGTGAATGGAAAGGACACAAGGAATGAAAACACTTGACAGCCTCCAGAATCAAGTCCAAAAAATATTCTTTGACTTATTAGAGCAGACTTACATTAAAAAAAAAAAAAAAAAAAAAAGTCATCTTCCAGGGAGAGATCAAGAAACAGACCATCTTCAATTCTGTCAGTGGCAGCTCAGGAAGATGTGAAGTGTCTGAACTGTGGTTGTACCAGCATGTGAATCCTGTGTTGCCTCAGCCTCACTGCCACTAACACCTGAGCAAGCCAATTAGAGTGACCCCCAGGCTCTCTTCTCAATAGCAGAGCAATATGACAACAGGGAGCTGCAAATCAGTTGTATACCCTCTCTGCTCMCAAGGAAAAGCCACAGCAAAGCACATGTTGCATCCAGGGAAAAMAAAAGCACATATTTGCTAGCATGGACATGAGACTAGAAGGAGTTTAGCCTTTGATGTCTTCTGCTTCCTGGCATATGATGAAACTCTGGGATCATTATACCTCAAATGCATGTTCATCACACAAAAAGATGATTTTTTTGATTATTTTTAAGCCGTGCCTTCCCTTTATGAGAAGAACACACCTCCACTCCCAAGGTACTGAAGGGATTTGGACTGTGTTAACTTAGAAGAAGTTTCTATAATTTCATTTCCCGTAGCTTTCAATGCAGCACTGCACCTTATATGTTGCATTTCTCTTAAAACTCTCATCTCTCATGAGAGAATAAGGCAGATTCAAYGAACAGTGCTCATGTAAGGATACTTTTAGATGAAATATAGGTAAAAATCTGTATTTGTTAACTCCTGAACTCACCAAATCTGGAGATAAACCTAAGCCCCTCAATGCTCGGACACTGTTCTGTGTTGGTTTGGTTTTCTGCTCACCAGTGGCATTAGGCTGAAAAGAATAGAAAAATAAGTCACTGTAAGTAATAATACATGCAGGAAGTAACCATACATCTAAGAGCTGCAACATGCCACCAACTGACACTGTTACTGCATCTATTACAAAAAAAAAATCAGTAAATATATGGTCCAAACTCAGGTCAAGCTCGCTTTTTTTTTTTTTTTCTGTTGGTTCTGTTAGTGTTTTGGGTTTTTTTTTCCTTTTTTTTTTTGAGGAAAAAGAACAATATAAATGACTCAAAAGAAGAAAATTCCAAAAGTTGGGCTTTGCTTATAAATGTCCAACACAGCACAAAKTCTATACTGGAAATAATGAGATATAGTAAGGATGATTCTGTTCTCAAATACAGAGGATCAATCCCACTGAAAATTAGCTGCATAGTCTCTTTTCTRCACAAGATGCAATCACGTCATCACTATTAAACCTCTGCTTTCCAAAACTTTCTCAGTGAATACTTCTCCCTTAAAATAATAACAAAAGCTCTTCRTGAAGTAAAATTTAGACTTAGAAGGGAAAAAAAATCAGCCCTGTACAACAAGTATGTGCAACTCTCTAGATAAATTAATACTGATATTTTTTTCCTTTTTTTGTAACTTAGAATATCAGACTCTTGCATCAATAAAAAAGGCCAGGGCCTTTATTAATCACTTTATTAAGTGAAGTGAGGTTTCCTATCTCTTAACCTTTAATCCCTTCCGACAATCCCTCTGAAGAGGACAAAGTAAGCAAATATATAATCCAACACAGAGTAAAAGTTGGCTGATAATTAAAATACATTTACAACTCACCTGTGGTACCAGACTAACATGGATATTACAGAAGTTATCTCTCTTTGCTTTGAACTGGAACTGTCTAAAYGCCTCAACAAACGGCATTCCTTCAATGTCTCCAATAGTTCCACCCAGCTGAAAAAGAGAGCTTGGATCTGTCAGAGTGGCAGAAAGTAAAAGCACAAGAACATCTATCTCTTGAAGCTTCAGCAATTTCTATTATTTTAGAGAGAAAAGCATGGCAATTGAAATTTGCTTTTGCAAGTATATTCTGCAAAGGGCCCAACTCTCATATGTTCTGCATGATTTGCTTCCCATGGAGAATCAGAGAATCACAGCCTGGTTGAGATTGGAAGGGACCTCTGGGGTCCAACCCCTAGTCCAACCCCCCTGCTCAAGCAGGGACACCTACTGTAATGACTTTCCTTGCTCACGTTCACATACAGCCAAGCACGTACATTTCGTACATGAAGATAAGTGGTGACACTGAAAAAAATTACATGCTTTCGTGTGACTTCCATTACCTTAAAAGTGGTGCAAAAGTAATCATTATTTGGCCAATGTGAAGGTTTTTGTGCTGAGAAGCAGTTTTTATTTTTCTGACTGCCAGATTAATAAACAATTGTGGTCAACRAGACACATGCATCTAGCAACATTATGATAGCTCTCCCACATCAAAAAATGACATATGGACAATATGAACTCCTATTTCTAGTATTAAAAGCATTTAAACGTTAATTACCAAGTCAAAGCGGGGACACAGACCAAGTTTATGACAAGCTTGATTTATAAACACATGAATTAGATATCGTTCAAAGAAAGAGCTATAACAGGGTAACTAAACACTGAAAAATTATCTCCCAAATTTGTGCAGCGAATGGATTTCAGAATATGGTCTTCGTGTGCCCCCATGTGGCTTCTAGCAGAACTGCATATTTGTGTTCAGTACTAGAAAACGTTCTTGAGAGCTTGACACACAAATGTAATTTAACTCCTTTAGCATTTCACAATTGAAAGATAGTCACATGTACCATCAAAACCTGTAAAAAATGTATTTTATGTGTTTTGAACCATACTGAAAAAAATCACATGGAAGAAACAGAAAATTAAGTTTTAAGTTAAAGTACCGATAATCCTACCCCTTGTTATTGTTCTCGTGCAACTTTTCCATTTATTGTTTTTCTGCTTATTTTAAACTAAATGAGAGCAAAAAGAAAGGAAGCTACTTGCCTCAATAACACATATCTGTGGTTCTTTTCTGTCATCATCCACTGGAACTTTTGCCTGATTCATTACCCATTCTTGAACCGCATCAGTGATGTGCGGAACAACTGCAAGACAAATCAAAACAAATACCTGAAGCACTTTGTATTTTAGGCCCATATTTCACTCTCCATAGRAAATAAACAGGAAGTGAAAAGGGAACTACTAGCACCTTTATATATTCCTCCTTTCCTTAAACCCAGAAGTCCAGCCTCACAAGAACAGGACCACATTTCCTGAGAAGGAAAAAAGGAGCAAGCCAGTGAATACTTTATCAGTATCTCTAGACAGAGCACTCTTTTGTGGAGACCGAACATAGAAGCAATTCATAGAACTAAAAATATCACCTTGCACAGTTTTTCCCAGGTAATCCCCGTGTCTTTCTTTATTGATGACATGCTGATATATCTTCCCAGTGGTGATGTTGTTATCTTTATACAGACTAATGTCCAAGAATCTCTCATAATTTCCCAAATCTAAGTCAACTTCTCCACCATCATTCAGTACAAAAACTTCACCTGAAAAAAAGTTAAATCATTAAAAATAATATGATAGCTTAGGCGAAAAATGTTAACAGACGAAAAAGCAATAAATCAGCTGTTACTAAACAAACAGGAGTACCACAAACATACCTTACAGCTTAAGAACTGCTTTTAAAAGAGTGATATAGGGCACTAGTTTGTATCATAAGCACATGCTACAGCTACATCTGTGACCCCATCCTGTGTGACTATTTGATACAATTAACTCTTCCAAAGAATGTCTACCTGCCAGTCACAAATGCTTTTGAAAATGAAGTATATTGGCAAAATATTTAATTTACCTAAAAATATTTCACAGGCATTTCAACAGCCTGTTACAATACTTTATGGGAAGAAAGCAATTTTCAGATATGATAAATCAGCTATAGACAACGTAGTAATTCACATGGCAGCAAAAAAMTGTGTTTTTCTAAGCATTAATTCTAAGCATGAATTATAATGTACTTTCAAAGTGCTTCACCATGAATTCCTGCTGATTGGGTCTATTTTATGATTAATGAGTAAGACCTAGATCTGGAGTAAAATTATGAGTAACATAAATACTTTCACAAATATTATTATTGCTKCTTCTTCAATTGTTTCATTGTATGTATTTAGTCTATTACATACATGGCCAGGGTTATTTCTGACCCTGAAAAAATCTAGAGAGAATTTTCCATTGACTGCAGTGGAGTTTGCTTCAGGGTTCAGACTTTTCTTAAACCCCTAAGGAAGGTCTAAACTCTGAATCTTGTCAACTTTTGAAGCAATTAAGCTTACTGCCTCCACTCTSGTTCCTAAGCTTCAGAAGATCCCTAAAGGATTTGCCCTGAGCCAATGAATTAACAGCTGGACAAGATACAAGAGTAATGGAAAAGAAAATAATAATTATTATTATTACTAATATTTATTATTATTCCCTTGAAGGTTTACTCTATCTTATGGAAATATATACTCCACCTAGACACAACACTCTGCCTCAAAATAAACAGTAAAAGAAAAAAACACACACAATAGAGTGAACGACATTCCTAATCCTGTGGAGCATTGAGCTCTTACTCAGTACCCCCAAATTGCCATCTCAGTCAACAGAAACAGCACAGTCAATATTTCTCATATGCAGATCCGTAGAGCATTACGGTTTTGTTTTGTTTTTAATAATAATCTTTTTAGGAAACTGGAAATAGACAAATAAAAATTCACTTCGCTCATATTTTCACCAAAATGTTAACAAAAGGTGCTTGCCATTAAGTTTTTTTGTCCTAACTATCTTGCTGGCTAGTGTTTTTTCACAAGTAATAAGAAAATCCTCCACAAATTGAGAGAAAAAAAAATGCTGGGTGGGAATAGGATGCCACATTTGCTCTCCCTTCCCCTCTGCTTGAGAYAGTGCAAAAACACATTCTGACAATCTCAAGTTATTGCAAAAATTTTACCACCAAAGGTAAAGGCAGAAGTTCCCCAGTGCAGTGCATGTACTCCTGAAAGTTCATGACTTCTGGATTAGTTAAATTTCGCTTTCTGAGAGAGGGCTGGTGCACTGTGCGTTTCCGCCACTTTGGAAGTAAAACAACCAGTTTTCAGCTCTGCCAAAGGGCATGGCGTTTGAGGGGGCAGGGAGGGGGGTCTTTTTTTCTTTTCTTAAGCCCTAGCTTTTAAGAGGGGAAAGTACGCATAAATGGAGGCTGGAAGATSAACTCCAAAGTGTTGATATTGATTATACACAGATTCACAGATTCACAGAATATTTAAGGTTGGAAGGGACCTCTACAGATCATCTAGTCCAACCTTCCTGCTCAAGCAGGCACACCTACAGCATGTGGCACAGGGTGGCATCCAGGCGGGTTTTGAAGACCTCCAGAGTAGGAGACTCCACAACCTCCCTGGGCAGCCTGTTCCACTGCTCTGTTACCCTAACAGTAAAGAAGTTGCTCCTCACCTGGAGACGGAACTTCTTRTGCTTCAGYTTGTGGCCATTACCCCTCGTCCTATCGCTGGCCACCAGTGAGAACAGCCTGTCCCCTTCCTCCCTGCATTCTCCCTTCCTGAACTTATACATATTAATCATATCCCCTCTGAGCYGTCTCTTCTCCAGAGAAAACAGGCCCAGCTCACTCAGCCTCTCTTCATACGAGAGATGTTCCATTCCCTTAATCATCCTGGTTGCCCTTCTCTGGACCCTCTCSAGAAGCTCCACGTCCCTCCTATACTGGGGTGCCCAGAACTGCACACAGTACTCCAGGTGCGGCCTCACCAGAGCTGAGTAGAGGATATAAACAAGCAGATAAATTTCAGCAAAGAAAAAGAATTAGAAATATCTATTTGTTGAAAGCACTTTGGAWCTCTGAAAACAACTGTTTTTAATAAATAACTAATAATATGCCAGAGAGCTAATGTAATATTCTCCAYTATAAATGAGGACCAGCTAGATGTGAGACTGTCTTGTAGCTCGCTGGCAAACTTCTTTTTCAGAAAGAAATCCATGGGCAATAACCTGGAGAAAGATATCAATCAAATGTACTTTSAAAATTCAGCTCCTAAAATTTTAAGATGATTAGTCTTTCCCAAGAGACTAAACTAATCCTTTATCTAACATACCATGTTCGTACGGCGAGAAGGTTCCAGCATCTATGTTTATATAAGGATCAATTTTGATTGCAGTGACACGGAGACCACATGATTTCAGTATGGTGCCAATGCTGCTTGCAATGATCCCTTTTCCAATGCCTGAGATGACGCCACCGGTAACCAGGATGTACTTCATTGGAAAATCAGCAGCAGCGGCCAGATAATGAGCTAGAAATCTAAAATAACAAAGATACGCCTGTGATGAACACCAGTTCACCCCAGAGAAGAGAACAGGCCCAGTACGCAAAGAATGAAAGCTGAAATGGCCTTCAGAGACAAACAACAAAATACTCTCTCACCATTTTGGACTCTGAGAGTAGGATTCCTCCATTCCTCCTCCATCAATATCTAAACTAAGCACTTAAGTGGAGAACAGATACCATTTTAATACACTGTCCCCTGGAAATGCCAAAGATGGGCATTTCCAAAGGATAGTTCACCTAATCTATTTCTCTCCTGTGACAGCAAAAGGCTTTAAGAACCACAAGTTAGGCAAAATTAATCTCATCTCTGATTCTTTCCAATTCCATTCCATTTTTAGTTGCGTTCTCCAACTCACTCCAACAAATACTTCMCCAAAGGTCTCACAACATCCTACAGATCAATAGAACATGAGACCACGAAAGCAAAAATGAACAAAAAATGCCCTTCTTGCACTAGAGTACATTACTGATCATCAGCCTAGAGTCTTTTCCTCATATGCCTACCCTTTCTCCCTCTCCAAATAATTATTGCATAAGAAAAACAGAAAAAGAATCATTCAGCATCTCTGGAGTATCCTGCAGAGTAAGAGTTAATAATGTGCTGGAAGACAATGTTATATTCATTTTATGTTTCAACTGTAAAGAAACATCCAATGTCATGAGGTACATTAGTATCTTGATTTCCGAACTGCAACTCTGGACAGCTGAGAACTATGCCATGGGGCCTTCAACATATCAAACTCTTGCATGTCTCAGCTTTCTTGTCTATAAAGAGAAGTAATTCAAGCTCTAATCAGAAGAGATACAACATCGTATGTCACAAAACTTTACAATAATAATAATTATTATTATGATTCAGGAACTTTCGGAAGCTTGTCTCTTTATAAAAAAGACTRGGTAATTAAAGCTACATAGCCAGGATAAAGTTATTAAAAAAAATACATGGTAAGATTTAAATATGATACTGAGCTTAGGTCTTTAATCAATCATTTCTAGTCTGTTATTTTCTTTTCATAAACTAAACTGCCAACGGACTTTTGTTCTTATTATATTTAGAAAAGACTCGCTAACATTTACTTGGAAACAGGCTAAAAATCACTCCTGTATATGATATTGCAAAGGAGCAAATGAATGACAGATTACCTTTCAAGATACTTCTGCATACCAGGAAAAAATCTTTCAAGTTACAAAATCACAGACATCCAGACACAGAGCAGTGGAAACAAAGCCACTTTTCAGTGTTTCCATTACAAGTATTCAGTAAGACAAGCAACAGAAAGTCAGTTATCAAACATACATAAGAAGTTAAAGAACTTTGAAACTGTACCTTTTCTGACATACAGTTGTAAGCAATACGGACCTTCTCAGTGTTACAGCATCCCAAACAAGCCTGAAAAGTAGAAATCAATAAACATCACTATTTTTGCAAATCTGTAACACAAATTAGGAGAGAGAGGCATTTTCAGAAAGGTTCCTTTAGAAGACACACAGACGGGTGCAAAATTTGACTGTTAATTGTAAAACAATTACACAAAACTGGTTTTAAAGTTTAACAAGCCTCCTTAGGCTATGTGATCACATAAAAACATGTGATCACAGTATGAATTACAGCTATCAAAGGCTAAATTAAGAAAATATTTTATAGTAACTTATCTCTATCCCAGAAAAAAAAAATCCTACAAATTAAGCTTTGGTAGACCACAGTTCATGATACTACCACTGTCTCTACAATTCACTCTGTTGTTCTCCAGTCTCTTCTGGCTTTTACACATGAACAATGAATATCAAAATTGTTTTAACATTAAATTCAGGGGTTGACAGGTGCTAATCCTTATACTGCTTTTTGAATAATGATAGCACTGCACACCACAGAGTTGAAATTGCAGGGCCAAGAACAATTTTTCCTTACCAAGGATCTTGCTTTACCCAAACCACCTGAAAGAACTGCAACAAGTATGTCCTACTACTGCGACAGCATGCAATACCACATCACCTAGCAAGGCTCAGGATAAAACTGAGTACATTTCTTCAAACTTCGGTAGTAAGCAGCACTGGTAAATGAACACTGGCGGCTCTTCCCCTGGTGGTACTTCCCCCTGAAGTACTGTAAATAAGGTCCTAGATCTTCAGGAGGCAGAGTTCAAAAACATAACAACAAGGATATTCTTATTCTTGATAACCAGAAGTCATGATTTAATAAATTTATTACTTCCTTGTCAGTGTGGACAAAGGGGAGATGATAGCCATCAGAAGTATGTAACTTCAAACACAAAGATGATGCTCAGGAGAAAAGGACCCTTGGAAATTATTCAGGACTGGTCATGGATGGGCTCACATCAAGCACTAATGAAAAAAACGAGAAGAAACGAGAAGAAAAAAAGGGGAGCATCCCCCCTCATTATTTGCAAATATGCCAATGACACGAATTCAGAATAGCACAAGGCAAATCAATAAATGGAAAAAAATGAGCATCATTTTCATAAAACAAGTAAAATCAGGAAGTAGGACAAATTTTAAAGACCCATAAAGCACAAATGTGGCCTGCACAAGAAAAAAGAAAAATTATTCAATGTCACCAAGAATTAAGTGTTTCCTACTATTTTTTTAAAATGTAACTTTTTTTCTCTCTTTTTAATGGCATAGGTTTCAACATTTAGAGCATACCTCTATTTCAGACTCTTCCTTCACAAATCTGACAACGTAGTTCTCAACATCAGCATTGTGTAAACACCTAAGCCACTTTCAAAGGTATTTCCAAGWGAAAAACAAAAGAAAAAAAAAAGGAGGAAAGAGAAATYAATCTAGTTAACTAACAGGTATAAACCTTGAATATTTGACAGATTAAAGTTTGCAAACCCCACTGACTGGAACCCAAATGAACACCTCTCTAATTTGTACAGGAACAGCAGCTTAGGGAAACACACTGTTTACTTGTGATCGATAACACTTGCAACAGGG